TGGTTAGTACTCTTCAAAAGTCAAGGTTGTGAAATACAAAGATGCATCTCACATTGAAGTAGATCTGACAAGTAAATGCAGTGCCTTGGATCCAATCCAGGATCCAAAAGGGGTGTGAAGCAGGGGATGGGTGAACCTTGAATAAGGTCATAGATTAGTTGGTAACATTGTATCCATGTTAATTTCCTGATTGAGGGCAGTTGTGGATGGTTACATACAATGTAACCTTGGGAGGCTCAGTAAAGGTTATGCAGGGACTCATCTACTGCTTTTGCAACATTTTCTTAATTCTGAAATTATTTCAAAATGCAATGTGGAAAAATAAAAGTAAACAAAAAACACAGTAGATAAATAATTGCCAGATGTGTGGAGCACTGTACAGGAGAGTGGGGAACAAAGCAGAGTAGCAGGCGGTCTGCCAGGAACTGCTGGTCCCAAGGGAGCACCTGACAAACACAGGGCAGAGGGAAGGGGCAAGGGCCCCGAGACAGGAAAGGGTCTGCCCAGTCCTGTGTAGGAATGCCCAGGGAGAAGCACACAAGATCTGGTGGGTGACGGGAGACACAGGAAGACCTGATTGCGCAGTTCACAGGCTCTAAGGAAAGCTTGGCAGGACTCCAATTGAGAAAGCAACAGAAGTTTGGGGCCATTGTGTAAATTTCCTTTAAGACATCAGGATGGTTTGAAATTATATCCCATGGTGGGGGAGGTCTATCTAACTTGTGGGAATCTCTCCAGGAAAACAGGAATTGTGGCCCCTCGGGCAGTCTGGAGCACCCTCCTTTTGCACTCTCCTTTTGTTCCCAAGGGGAAGAGCAGCACTCACCTAGATGGCTCCCTCACCTGTGCTCTGCCCACTGTCCTCCAGCTGTGTGGGTGAGCACACATTGGAGAGTTTCAGACCTTATCTCAAGAATAACCAGTGCAGAAAGGACTGTGGTAGAGTACAGTAGGCCAAGTCAGCATGAGGGCCTAAGTTCAACTCCCAGTACCTCCAAAACCATATATATATGTATACACACACACACACACACACACACACACACACACACATATCTCAAGTTCAGATCAGTCCCCTTTTAACGCTCAGTCCAAAGCAAAAGGCCTGCTTCCTTCCACCCTCAGAAAATAGAGTGTGACGTTTGGGAACTGCACCTAAAATCCCTGCCTGAGCGCCTCCCAGCCGCTGAGCTGCACTTGGAGAACATCTGAATGAGCTACTCAGGAGAGGGGAAAACGGTACTTCTCTTCCCCTTTTTAGCCCCAGAAGGAAGGTAAAACAAAGAGAGGACCTTTTTGCATCTTCTTTCCCCTTTCTTCCTCTTGGGAGTCAAACCTACTGTGCAAGCACACTTCTCCCATCTGCAGAAGGATGAACTCATGCTCACAGAGTCTTGGTGAAAAAGTAATGAGAATGAGTGACGAGAAGCAGCCCATGTGGTGAAATACCCAGACAAGGCAAGGCCATTGAGGCAGAACGAGGATTAGGAGTGGTCAGTGTCTAAGAGGATAGAGAGAGCATGGGAGTGAATGCTAATGGGTACAGGATTCCTTTTGGGTGATAAAAATGTTCTGGAATTAGGTGGAGGTGGTGGAATTGTAAATGTGCTAAATACCACCAAATTGCACATTTAAAAATGGCGAATTTTATGTTGTATATAGTTTACTGCACTTTTAAAAACTATCTAAGCCGGGCATGGTGGTACATGCCTATAATTCCAGCTACTCAGGAAGTAGAGGTAGGTGTATTGCAGTTCAATACTGGCCTGGACAAAAACTCGAGACCCTATTTGAAAAATAAACTAAAGCAAAAACAACTAGGAACATGGCTCAAGTGGTAGAGTGTCTGCCTAGCAAGTTCAAGGTCCTGAGTTCAAACCCCAGTACTGCAAATAATGTTAATAATAATAATAAAAACAACTGTCTGGAGAGTGGCAAAGGTGAAGTTCCTCCATCCCTCTGAACCTCAGTTTCCTCATCTGCAGAAGAGGGTGGCTGTGCAGATGGCACTGTTGCTCCTAGGGAAAGTTGCATCCCCAGGGGAGATGGGAGGGGTTGTGGCCATGGTGCAGATAAAGCATCTGGCCAAGGGGACTCTTGTGACACATGCTAGGTAGACGTGGTCACCGTGGTGATGCTCTGGAGACAGCCTCAGCTGAGCCCCCACACCCAGTAGAGACTCAGCAAGTGCCCGCTCCCCTTAAGGCCCTGGGCGGGCTCCATATGGTGTTTGTCCAAGAGGCCTGTCCCTGGTGTCCGACTCATGATAACACCTCGGGCCAAGGCAGATCATATTTTCAGCTCTGGGAGCCTGGTCTAAGCAATTGGGCACTCTAGATTTAATTCTGCAGGTAATTTGAACGATGCTATCTAATTTCAAATGTCCCTGCTCTTATGAGTGCAAAAGCAGCATAATTTTTAATTAGTGGGTAAACAGTAAATAATGAGTGGCAGTAAGTGAACACCACTGTTAATTAAAAATCCATGGTTGATAAAAATCAATTTGGTCCCTACATTTAACTCAGTCTTTCGGGTCCCTGCAAAAAGTTGGGCAACCCAGCCACAGCACCATCTGCCTCTAGTTGTTTATCTAGTTCAGACTTTTCTGGAGAGAGAAAATGGGAAGAAAAAAAAAAAAAGGAAAAGGAAATCAAAGTCCACCCCCAAAGCTGCCATGGAGCAAATGTCATGGAGTCATTTATAATTGGCTAAGTTTATTTTTGCAACCTTGAAGTTGAGGCTTCATGGATGGCCAAAAGGTGGCTTTGTGTGAGATTCTGGTGTTTTCTCCAAGGTTCTCAACCGTGCTTTGTGTATGCATGTGCTGAGGACAGTGAGGTTGAACCATATCTCACAGTCTGCTGATACAATTAAATCCCAATTTCTCTCAGAAAAACAAGATAAACTAAAACACACTTAGTGGGAACACACTAGCTGAGGACTCGTGACAAAACACAACGCTCTGGCCCATCTCTTTTCCGCGCCTTCAGGGAGGGTGTGGGAGACAAAAGACTTGTTTTCTTTTGAACAGAAAACATTTCCTCCAGAAACCAAGTTTCGTGGAAACAATGACAATATAATTTTCAGAGTCCGTGCGCTATTTCACTCTGACATGCAAGCTTGATTTTCCAACCAGGCAAATAAGGCTGACCCCTTCTGACCCTTTTCTTCGCATTGCTTCCACCCGTTCTCCAAATCAACACTTTCCGACAGGTTTCATTGACACTGGTGATGTTCAAATTAACCTGCAGAATTGAATCCAGGGGGAACCCAGTGTCTTCTGCAAAGTTGGCTCAGAAGCACCAAAATATGCCCGCCCTGAGCTGACGCTGAAGTGCATCCTTCCATCCAAGCTCAGGTCCCCTGGGGACCAATGCTGGGACTGGGCCCAATGTGGATATCCACAACCTACCATGGCATCCTGGCCCAGGTCACTCTGGCACAATAACCTTGCACCAGGCTAATGCAGAAGAACCCAGATTCTCTCTTTCAAGGTTCTCATTGGTATTTGCTTTACCTCACAGAGCAGCCCTCAGCACCCTCTGAGCCACCCAAGTGACAATGTATGTAGGGGAGCACACCTCCATCCTGGCTGGCTATTTGGTTTCATTTCTCCTGTTGGGCTGATTGAAGGCAATGAATCAGTGACCAAAAACCAAGTGAGACTCGGTGTCATGCCACCATCTTCTCTTACATGTACTAAGTGTCCTTCCTTCTAGGTCTCCTAATCAGTCCCCTTTGCCCTTACTAGGGACATAAGACAAGCAACGGTGAAGCCTTCAGGCTCCAGGATCTGACATTCTGGGCTGCAGTCCTGGCTTTGTCACTTCGGATATCATAATCCCCATAGAACTGAGCCATCAAGCTGAGCCCATTCCTCTGCCTATAGAAGAAAGTCGTTGCTGATGCCTGGCTCAACAGAGTTCAGACAAGTGACCCATAAAAGTGTATAGAGTCCATCCTCGGTTAACAGTTGGCACTTGTCATTGTCCCCAGCAACATCACTCCTGGTCACTGAGATGTGACTTGTGACCCTCAGTGAATAGAGGAATCTGCTCCACCTTATTTTTCTGAAAGGCTACTAGGGTGCAGAGAGTTTTCAGTCAATGTGTCATTCAGGCAGCTCTGAGTGCAGTGTGGGGCCCTGGCCTCCTCTGAGCCTCACACGGGAAGGTGGGGATGTGCAGAGAAGGGGGTTTCTCCATTAGCCCATGGCCCCTCCTTGGGCTCTGAGGCCTCTGTCCCTCCTGGCTGACTTTGGTGCAGGCTCGGTGAGGACCAGGTTGCAAAGCCTGCTGCCATGGCCAGGTGGCCAGGGTTGGGGGGCCCTGTGAGCACAGCACTGCTGCAAGGTTTAGTTGCTATGCGCTCCAAGCTTCCCACCCAGCCCACCATCTGGGCTGTGTCAGCCTGGCCTGCTGAGTGGGGACGGCAGTTTCTGAGGGAATAGCTGCTCTGTAGCAGCTGAAGGTCTTGGCGCTTGCCTTGGAGCAGCATCCAGAAGCCATGGTGAGCTGTCCCACACCCTGGCTGACTCCTCACCAGGCCCTGAGCCAGCACATCTGGGGGTCACCCAAGAGGACCTGGGGCCTGATACACTAGCCCGGGTTGCTCACATCCATCCTCCAAATTCCTCCCTCCCCGAGGGGCCAACTTCTGCCTAAGCTTGGGAAAGAGAGCCAGGGGCAGGGTGCACCCCACATGGTTGGCCTCCTGACCCAGCCAACGGCCACAATTTCATTCCCTCAGCACACTCTACTGAGCACCAACTGTGTGCCAGGCACTGGTTTGGGTACCACAGACACTACAAACAATCACAGGCCTGGTGCCTGAGTGAGACAGACGGTGAGGAGCCGGGTACCCTTGGGATCCAGATGGAGGTGGGGCAGCCTACCTGCCCCCACCCCCCTCCGCTACCTCCCAAGCTGCAAAGAGAACGGATGGGTAGTCAGTGCACGTGAAGTGTGTGGATCTCTGATCCAGGTCTGTCTGGTTTGCAGCTGGCACCGTAGAGGCAGCTGGGGCTGCTGAGGGCAGCCACCTGCGCTGGGAGCCCAGCTGTCAGCAGCCTGTGCCTGACAGCAAGTCCATCATGGCAGTCCTGCCCCCCCGCCTCGATGGGCCCTGGATCTCCACCAGGTAAGACCGCCAACGCCACCAACCATGGTCCCTCTTGAGCCTCGGTGTCCACAACTGTGAAGCAGGCACAATGTACCCCGTCTGTGAGAACCCGCTAGCTGCTAAACCCACGGCTTCCCTTCTGCAGGTGGCACTTGGGGTGGGGATGTGTCAGGCACCACGCCCAGCCAACAGTGGCCAGTGGAAAGATGTACTTGTTGGGCACATGAAGACCCGTTACCCAGACACTTATCGCCTACATACTGTGAGCTGGTGCACAGCGTGGGCAGCGGGACACGTTAAATACTCTAACATGGAAATAAGCAATGGCCCATGACAGCAAATGACCTGGAGGCTTTTTTAGAGAACGATTGGAGCAGACTCTTGGAGGCAGAGGTGTTGGCTGAGAACTAAAACATAGCTACCATCCAGCAAGCCAGGGGAAGAGCCAGGCAGAGGGTGCACCTGGGGCAAAGGCCCTAGGGCAGGAAGTGGCAGGCGTGAGAGAGTCTCAGGGCCCCATCCAATCCTGACAGGTGCAACCAACATCTCAGAAGCCAGAGGCCCCAGGCTCTGTGTGCCACCCTGATCTGTGGCACACAAGCCCCACACAGCCAAGCAAGTTGCTCTCCCTACGAGGGCTGGGAGTGAGAAAGCTGTGGTCTTTTCCACTTCCCCATCCCGTCATCTCCTTCAGCCAGTCCCATTCTGGGGTCAAGGACCGGACTCTCTGTGTCCTCCACGTGCCTTCTGAGCTCATGGAGAACTCGATTGCCAAACATCTGCTAGTGCTTTGTGTGGAGGGAGGGGGTAAAAGTTCTACAAAGCCTCTTCCAACTCATCCCCAGGCTCTGTGGGCTGCAGGCACGCCCCCCTCCAACCTCAGTCCAGGGATCCAGGCACCTGGGGGATCCAGATGGGATACCAGGTCACTGGGGCAGAACTGAGGTGTAAGGAGATGGGGTCACTGAGTTGGGCTGCTCCTGTTCCCAAGCAACAGCATTTTGGAGTAGTTCTTCTATGAAACTCCTTCGAGAACTTTCCTCCTAGAAACCTTCCTGCTGAACTCTCGAGACAGGCTTTCTCCACCTGTCAGGGAGGAGTGCGAAAATGGGTGAGGGGTCTGTGACCACTGAAATGTCCAACATGACCTGCTGTTTGCTTGCCAGGGGTCCTTAGGAGTGTGGGGTACCCCTCCCCGTTTTTAACTACCGCCTATTCTGGTATTCACTTACTATTTTTCTTTAAGCCAACTTGCTTTTATTTACTTAAACATATTCATTCATTTTTACAGCTTTATTGAGGTATAATTGGCATAAGTAAACTCCACACATTTACAGTGCAATGTAATTATTTTTAAAGGAAATGTAATATCACCCTGGATTTGGAAAACAGAGCCACTTGCCATAAATAAGAAGTAACAGTAAAAAGAAACTCAATGAAACAAAACAGTGTAATTAGGTTCTCTCTAGATTCATGGCCTACCTAAGGCTCTGAGTCTGTTCTTGCTGGGAGAAAAAGGAGGGCGATGTTACAGACGCATTAGCTCCAAACAGACTTTCTGTTGAACATTAACAGAAAGATTGAAAGAAAAGAAAAAGGCCATTTTCTCGCGAGGATGACATGTTTCACTCTGCTCTGGCAGTCCTGCTATAGAAACTGCCAACAAAATAGCAGTAGAGTGATACCTGGTTAGAGGAAAATGGAGGGTGCAGGGTTCACCCACCACCCATCCTGACTGAGCCCTGGATAGGGAAGTCTAGAGGCTTCTCCTACCCCAGCCCAAGGCATTGCCGTGGGCCTAGGAGTTCCTTAGCATCCCTTTCCCAAGCTGCTGGACTTGTTTGCATCACTAACAGAATAGAGCCTGGAGGCCAAGTTCTGCCCAACACCTATTTTAATAGTTTTATTCAAACTCCGCCAGGCCCATTCATTTAGCATCCGCTATGGCTGCTTTTGCTCTACAATTGCAACCCTGAGTGGTTGCAGCTGAGTAGCTGGCCACCAAGCCTGAGCCTGGTTTAGATCGGCAAGCCCCATCATAAGCCTGGTGAGAAAAGTCAGCTTACCAAATGGGGACACGAATATGCATGACATCACTGTGCTTCTTCGGTCCTCATGCCTCCCTCACTCTGTAGCCACACAGGGAGAGGCCTGTGTGTATCCTATCTGACCAGGTGCCCAGCATTTAACAGAGAAGGAGCCTGAGCTCAAGGGGCAGGGCGCACCCAGGTGGCTGCCAAAGGCCCCACTTAGGGCATGAGGATGGACTAGAAGGAGGACCAATCTAAGGTCACAAGGCACCAAGTGGAAAACTCCAACCCTCCAGACCAGCCAGGGAAACTGAGGCTGTGGGGTCCAAGCCTGAGCTGAGGCCTGAACTGGAGACTGAGGAGATGGAGCCCAGCCCCACAGGGGGAGGGCAGGTTTCCATTACCCCACCCAGCACCCATTTTTTTCCCCTGTAGCTGCGAGGTGCGCCCGGGACCAGAGTTCCTCACCCGCTCCTACACCTTCTATCCCAACCGCCTCTTCCGAGCGTATCAGTTCTACTATGGCGACCCCTCCTGCCGGCAGCCTGCCCACTCACTGGTGATCAAAGGCAAAGTCCGCCTGCGTGGGGCCTCCTGGATCACCCGGGGCGCCACTGAGGCTGACTACCACCTACACAAGGTGGGCATCGTGTTCCATAGTCGCCATGCCCTGCTTGATGTCACCAGGCGCCTCAACCAGACTCAAGCCAGCCAGGATTGTGTGGGGCGGTTACCTCCAGTCTGGGCCTGGCTGCCTGGGGCGCTGTATGAGCTGTTGAGTATCCGAACCCAGGGGGACTGCATAGCAGCGCTGGGCTTCAGCATGCATGAGCTCAGCCTGGTGCGCGTGCAGCGTCGCCTGCAGGCACAGCCCCTGGCCACACCCCAGCTGGTTGAGGAGCTGTATCTGGGAGACATCCACACTGATTGGGCAGAGAGGCAGCACTACCGGCCCACCGGCTACCAGCACCCACTGCAGAGCGCCCTGGTGAGTCTGGGGACCTGGGAGGGGAGTTCTGGAGCCCAGCCTAACAGGCTCTGTAGGATTCGGTCCCTGCTGAGGGTCCCCTCTGCCCTACTCTTATCACTGCCCTCCACTCTGGACTCCTGGCCTCAGGACATTTGCACATGCCATTTCCTCTGCTTGAATCATCTTTTCTTAAGCCTGCTGCTGGCTTTTTCCAAAAGGAAACACCATTCAACTTCCCCAGTCTGGCCCTTCCCAGCCTACGCCCTCCAGATTTAGTCTTCAATAGCACCCCATTCCTGCTCCTGCTGGATACATGGGCTTGGGCAGGTTTTCCCCTCCTTGCTTCTCATTCAATAAATGCTGGTGAATGCACAAGGGGGCCCCTCCCTGTGCCACACTCGGGAGCTCAGTGGGGACCTTGCCAGTCACCCAGAAGCAGAGTCACCATTGCACACTTTGTGCAAATATTCTGTGGAGCTACATCAAACTCCACATCCGTGAGCATGGGGGAGAGGAGGAACCTAGGGTTCTCATTTCTAACACATGCCCAGGTGCCCCATGGGGACAACCTTTTCTGGGAGGCCCAGACCCCAGATTGAACTTGATTGAGGCCAATCAACCTAGATTGTAAAGGTAGTGTCACAAATGTCCTGTGATAATTTGGAGATCTACTAGTCTTTTTGCAGACAAGCAAGTACGGGGGGGATGAGGGTGGGGAGTGGGAGCAGGGTGGAGGGCACTCGGGACCTTTTCAGTGCCTGACACCTCTCTGGTGGCTGGTGAAGCCCCAGAACTCCTCAGAAAAGTGTTTTCAGAGGCCATTAGAATAATTCTGTCTTAAACCCTGAGTGTGTGACACAGGGAAGCGAGGGATGTAAATTCCTTCCTCACCTTCGTGTCCAAGCAGTGATGAGTGTAAACGAAGTTTCCAGTGTCCGCGACACTGATAATGGGACATTGGCAACACAGCCAGGGGCTCCGTGGATATTCCTGGGGTTTGATGATCACGGTCGTGATAGGAGAAAGTCAGCGCAGATGAAGTCACTTAGGGCTCTGGGTTGGGAACTCCTGAGCAAAACATCAGTCAGTATTTTCTCGAGTGCAAACAGTAGGCAGAAGGAGCAGGGAGGGATGGGTCAGCTGTCCTTATCAAGTGCTTTTTGAACCCTTAGGCCATTTTCACATCCTTCAGCATGCATTGGGTGCCTACTGTGTGCCAGACACTCAAGAAACTAAGCCAGATGGGGCAGGCTTATCCCTGGGAGGGATGGCAGGCACTGGGCATGAGACAGACCCCAACCCGTCTACCTCCTCCCCAGAATCCGGGTAGCGCGGAGCAGGACAGAGCCAGAGCGCTCATGATCGGAAGCCAGCCGCAGGGCTCCTTCTGTGCCCTCGCAGCCATTCCCTCTTTCGCAACCAACGGTCCAGGCTGCTCGCCCTTAACCCCATGTGGGGAGGGAAGGCGCGGTGGGCACGGATTACCGGCCCCCTCTCATGGCGGTGGTGGGGGACAGTCACTCCAAATGCAGAGGGGACAGGTCTCCAAGGGCCGCGGGGCCCAGCAGCATCCCGTCTCCATGGCAGAGCTCTGGGGCCACTGCTGTCCCCGCACTCCCTGCTGCCTGGCCGGCCGGGGTGGGGACAGCTACAAGCAATTGAGAGGCAAGACACACAGAATTGTGCGCGCCACTGAGGTCGCCAGATGTACTGACATAAAATGAAATGTCCGCTCACCGAGCCCCTCCTGTGTGGGGAGATAATTTCAAAGAAGGAAATGCTACGGATAAGTCCCCAAATATCGCATTTGTCGTTTCCTTGTGCTCCCGGGGCCCAAGCCATGCCCACAGCCCAAACCAGATGGTAAACGTGAACATTTTTAGAAGTTAATTTAAAACCAATTTGATCCCCAAATTCATTGCCTGGATATAGAATCCTAATCAATCCGCCCGCACTGGACCACAACCATGCAAGCGGGGGTCACCTCTGGGGGCTCATTAGACGCTGTTATGTGATGTTGGAGAAACAAGTTTATGTAACAGGCACAAATGTGGCTTCCACCCCAGTGTGGATTCTGCCAGCTGGGGACATTGTTTATGAACACGGTCCCCTGCAGAGGACACCCACCCGGAGATGCTCTGCAGAGACGGAGCCTGGCTTTGCACCTTACACGGCTCCTGTGAGGGAAAGCACATTTTCTCTCTCTTCTCTCTCACCTTTAAAGCTCTGGCTTCAATTTGTCTCTGCTATGCCAAAAACCACCCTCCCCAAATTACCAACTAGCACCCGAATGTTCCTCTGTATAGGAGAGCGCAGGAGTGGGTGGTGGGTGGCGGGGAAGAACAGCTCTAGGATTATTCCGAGGCAATGCATTTTGTCCGGTCCACACACAGAATGTGGGTTAAAACGCCCAATTACCGACACTCTGGCTAACTACTGCACTGCGTCTCCCATCACAAATGTGTCTGCACATCGGCCATCAGCTAACACTTCAAAGTGTCTTTCAGTGCTCTGGGTCAAAATACCCCAAGCCAAAAACGATGTGTGGGAATCAAGAGAAGTGTAGGTTCATCAGAGAAATAAAGAATAAGGGCTTCTAAAATATGACAATCCAAAAAAGAAAAGAGAAAGTGGTCAGCCAAGCAACCTTCTAACCCACAACCCCTGGTGTCACCTACTCAGCATGGAACTCATCCAGCAGTCCTATGGAAAGCTTTGGGGGCAGTTGCGAGAAAATATATATTAGAGGTGATTTCACAGCTGGACCCTGGAAGTATCCTCTTCCCCTTCCTTTGTCTCACTTGGACCCTTGGCTCTGTTTCCTTCAGGAATAGCTAAAGCAGAGGACATAGGCTGGCTCCGAGGCAAGCCACCTTGCAAAATGACACTGAATTTTGGGCAGCAGCTCCCTTGTAAAAAAAAAAAAAAAAAAGAAGAAGTCTGTATCTGGTTCCTTCTTGGCCTCTACTGAGTCTTTTCACTCCAAAACGCAGAATGACTTCTCCCACGCAATTTGATTTAGCATCTGTTTCCTGTTGACGTGTTTTACTGTAAACCCACCTCGGGAGAATGGGGAAGGCCAGATAACTATAAACAAGGCCAAACATAGAGAAAAACCAGCTGACAGCCTGGGGCAATGGAGAGCTAAACCTGACCTTCCAGGGTGGACCAGGTGTGGTGTACACGTCTGTAATCCCAGCCCTTGGCGGGGCTGAGGCAGGAGGATTAAGAGCTCCAGGCCAGCCTAGATGAGACCCTACCTCAAAAAATCCAAACAAATATAAATAAATAATGCCAGGATGAACATCTTTGAGCCATGGCTCTTTCTGACAGCCCGGCTCTCACCCTATCACCACTTCAAAGGCATGGGTTTTTCATTTTGTGCTGCTCTACCACTGAGCTACGTCGCCAGCCTGGCATGCGTATTTTGAGGGTGTTTGTCCCAAAGCAGTATGGCAGCAATGCTAACCTTCCAACTTGGGATTTCTAAAGACAAGAGTCCCACCTTCCCCCTGCAGGGGAGACACAGCCACTGTGTGGCTCTGGTGGGAAAAGCTGGGGACTCAGACAGATGAGATCACCAAGCTGGGTGGTGTCTCTCCAGCCTGGACTGCTGTGGTGACCTAGGGTTTCAGTGTCCTCCCTCAGCTTTTAGGTGTAACAGGAGGCACTTAGCATAGCACCCGGGCACTTCCAAAGCACCTCAAAGAGCCAAAGGCAAATAAGCAAGGGAAAAGACGAACTTTCAAGGAAGGGTTCAAGAACAAGCAGGCTGAGCGTGAGGAAGACAACTTCCAAATCCTGAAAGAAGGCGCACTGCCCTTCTTCCTCCCTCCCTCCCTCCCTCCCTCCCTCCTTCCCTCCCTCCCTCCTTCCCTCCCTCCTTTCAAATTTGTGCTTGCTGTGATTTTGCCAAGCTGGCCTAGGAGATCCAGGAGTTTACAATCCAATGGAGGGAGGGGAACAACAGGGTGGGGTGGGCAGTGTCTATGAGCAGAAGGGTGACGGGACTGCCCGTGGGGCTTCCTTATAAGGCCAGGTGAAGGAAGGTCCCCTTGAGCCTCTCAGGCTCAGTGAGACCTAAAGAAAGAGAGGAAGGCGCTGGCCCTTCCAGCAGTGAGCTCCAAGCTGGAGGAACAGCACGTGCAAAGGGCCAGTGGCAGGAGGCCAGGGGGTGGAGGGGGCCGAAGTGCGGAGCTGCTCCAGGCTGCACCCTCGCCTCCATGCGGGGCTTGATGGCTTTTCTGTTTCTCCCCTGGCAGCACCACGCCCGGCCCTGCCCGGCCTGTGGCCTGGTGGCGCGGGCCGATGAGCACCACCCGCCCGTGCTGCCCCCAGCGCGGGCGCTGCCGCTGCGCCTGGGCGGCCGCTGGGTGAGCGCGGGCTGCGAGGCACGCCCGGCCGTGCTCTTCCTCACGCGGCTCTTCGCCTTCCACGGCCACGGCCGCTCGTGGGAGGGCTACTACCGCCACTTCTCCGACCCCGCCTGCCGCCAGCCCACCTTCACCGTGTTCGCCGCCGGCCGCTACTCCAGGGGCGCCCCCTCCGCCAGGGTGCGCGGGGCTACCGAGCTGGTGTTCGAGGTCACGCGCGCCCACGTGACGCCCATGGACCAGGTCACCACGGCCATGCTCAACTCCTCTGCGCCGGGCAGCTGCGGTGGCCCCGGGGCCTGGTCCCTGGGCACTGAGCGGGATGTCACGGTCACCAATGGATGCCTGCCACTGGGCATCCGGCTGCCCCACGTGGAGTACGAGCTCTTCAAGATGGAGCGGGACCCCCGCGGACAGAGCCTGCTCTTCATCGGACAGAGGCCCACGGACGGCTCAAGCCCCGACACCCCAGAGAGGCGCCCCACCTCCTACCAGGCGCCCCTGGTGCTCTGCAGGGCGCAGGCCCGAGACGCCCCCAGGCCCCCACCGCACAGGGCCCCGCTGCAGAAGGCCCCTGGTGGTGGGGGACCCTGTCCTCCTGTCGCCCCTCTCCCTGTCCTGCTCCTAGTTCAAGGGCTGGCATTCTCCACTGGCTATGACCTCCGTCTTCCTCTTGGAGATGCTCCTTGAACGTGGTGCCAGGCCCCCGGCTGTGACATCAAGGGCAAGGAAAGTCTTCTCCACTCTGTCATGGATTGACACAAGGTCCCCACCACCTCCAAGCTTAGCCTCTGTTCCATGGGGCTGGCCAAGGGAGCAAAGTCACATTCCACTGACCACTGCATGAGTTCACTGCCCTCTGAGCTTCTCCTCCCTCACTCACACTGTTTGTACCATCCTGGTCTTGGCCACAGGCACCGCTGTTCAGGGGACCACTCTGCTTCTCCCCCTCTTCCTCACCTGGAGGAGGTTGAGAGATCCCGCCTAGGGAAGGATGCCTGCTGCTCTGCCAAGGCTGTGGATTGCTGTTTAGAGATTAACTTCAATTTAGCAACACAAACTCAAAGTGGGGCCGTGAATTAAAGGTGCCACACGGGGCTTTTGGTACTTCTCAGCTTTCTGGCATAGGGCTGGTTTCTTTAGGGGCAATCGGCTTTCTTGAGTTCTGACTCCTGGTGTTTTGTCTACATCCGCCTGTGCTTCTGAGAGTCAGACCTCAAGCCTCCAGAGTTGTCCTGCGAGCAAAAGAGGGTTCCATCTGAGCTGGGAATCGTGTCTTCCCTCCGGAGAGGGTGCCCTCTGAGTCCCCCGAGCCCACCCTGAGTGCCAGCAAGCGCCAGGCTGGCTGCTGGGGGCAGGTCCTCAGAGGAGAGCATTGTTTCAGCCTTTGGAAAGCAATTAATAGTACTGATAGCAGAGTACTCCATGTGCTGTAATTAGGCCTACAGTGCCTCGCTGCTGCACAGATGGGGGCAGGGGTGGGGGACCGTCCAAGTGTTCATCTTTGGGACCACCCCAGGGAGAGGCCAGGGCCATCAGTTTTGTGGCAACATCTGCAAGTGAGAACACGACACAGGACATGAAGGAAGCTTGGCCTCACTCAGCACCCTTGCTGTGACACTAATGTGTCATGTCCTCCTCAGCTCAGGGGGGCTGTCATCACGGCAGGGACAGGCTGTGTCTCTCCAGGGACCCTGCCTGTGTTCCCAGGGCCTCATCTGTACACTGCAAGATTAACTGGCATCCTGGGGGCTCAAGGGTTTGGGACAGTGAGCTGCCTTTCCACTCTCCTTCCTCCTCCCGATCCGTCTCTGGCTCTTATCCCAGATCGTCAACCATCCTCGGCGAGGCTAATGACGCTTTTAGAGGGAAGCCCTTATACTCCCTGAGACCGTGTGGGGTTCAATCAGCCTGCTGAAATTGCTCTAACTTATTACCCATTCTTCTCAAAAAAAAAAAAAAAACCCTGCCATGTTAATATTCTCTGTAGGTCTCAGACAGCTACAAGTATTCCTGGCATATTTACCAAAGTACAAGAAATAATTAGATTATTTATGGTCTTAGACTCCATCGGGGTGGGGGAGTTCCCAGTGTGGATGAGAGGGGGTGTCGATAATATGTCCACGGCCGAGCAAGTCTTGTTTCGGAGGCTTGAAGCAAGCATGGCACCATTTATCATCAAATTTGAATCTTTTAATAAAATTAAACAGCCTGAAAAATGTTCTTGCTGGTTATTAAAGTCAACCAAGGGGATTATGGTGTTAAAAGAAAGGAAGTGAAGTGTCTGCCAGAGAATGTGTGGAGAATAAAACTAGTGGAGGCAAACAACTTCTTGCTGTACTGTGCCCCCTGCCACCATCCTGCCCTGCTCAGTATGCAAACCCACTCCCACTGCTCTCAGAAGAAAACCCCAGCTGTGGCTCACTGTTGATGGTAAGGTTTGGCCATAGCTCCCCACACCCTGGCTGCACTGGTTAATTCATGCTGGAGCCTTTGCAGGTGCCCTCACCCCTGCATGTCTCCTCCCCAGACCTACAGACACTTGGTTCTTTCTTTTAATTCAAGTCTCAGACCAAATGTCAGCTCCTCAAGGACACCTACCATTAGCACCCACAAAAAGCAGCCCCCTTTTCCCTAGAGCTTCTAGCTATCGATCCTGTCACTCTGCTGTGTGTCTTTCATAATGCATGCCGACCACTGATTAAAATGGTCTTATTTCTTCACACTTATCCTCTGCCTCCAGTGTCAGGAACATCCACTCCTAGGAACAGGACAGGGCCCAGGCCTGGTATCTTTCCAGTGGGGTCAGGATTGATGGGGGCCTGGTGGAAGGAGCTCAGCAAATGCACCTGACTCACAGAGTGGTACTCCTCCCTTGGGCCCACAGTAAGATCTATGAAAGGGCCACAGTCTACGGAGCAGCATCCACAACAGGTAAAGGGTGGACTCTGCATCTTGCACACAAACACACTAAGGTTCAGAGAGAAGGGGCTAGCCTGAGTCACGCAGGAAGGAAAACCACAAGCAGCTGGACCCCAGAGCCAGACATATGGACTTCCTGGAGGGAGTGTGATTCCATGCTGTCCTTGGGGAGGGCGATTTGGTGCTGTTTCATGGAACCAGGAATCTCACTGGCAGATAAACTGGGCAAGAGAGATGCCAGGACTCACCACAGGCCATGGCTGATAGGAAATGTGCAGGTGAAGAAATGCAAAGCCCCTTCTCTTCTAGATAGACAGATGGACGGAGGGCAGAGCTGAGGGCAGAAGGCTTGTTCAGAGGCTGAACCTCGGACCCTTTGCCCACCCAGAGCCTCCAGCCTTGCCATAAAACAGAGCTTTCATCCACACAACAGTCCTCGCTCAGAGCAAAACAAAACAAAATTAATGTTCTCCATCTTATGTGCAGTCACGTTTAAGAAGGGGGGGGCATGCAGTTGATAATTTCATAGTGCAAATCCCAGGAGAGTAAATGAGCTTTTTTTTTTTTTTAATAAAAAGTTTAAATTGTATACAGCTCTCAGAGGCCCATTAACTAACAGATGCTGGTTATCAAAAGAAGTTATTTCTTTGCCTTTCTCTAAGCGAATGTGTTTAATCTCCCAGCGGTGCCACTGGGCTGAGAAGCAGCGTGTGTTGGTGACGCAGCCCTGCTCTGTGCATCCTCTCCCGGGAGCCTGGGTGACTCAGGCTGGAGCCTCTGACGCACAAGGTGGAATTCATTAGAGCCATGCCAGTGGCCGATTCACAGACTTTATTGTCACAGACCGGGGTGGGGGGGGGCAGAGGGAGGGCTGTTTCCACTTCTAAGGGGCGAGCTGCGACCTCCAATCTGCTCTTGGTGGCCTTAAGAGGATGGGAGTAAACTGCCTGTCCAGCCTCTTTGCCCTTGCCCCCCAGCCAGCCTTCTCTCTGGCTTGCTACTCTGCTCCCACTTGCTCCTTCCTTTCTCCTCCACCTCTCACCAGCTCCAGCCAGCGGCACCTTGAACCCTTCTCTCTTTATCTTGTTTGTCCCTTTCCTCTCCTTTAGACTGAACTCCTGGACAAGGGCAGCAGGCCCTCCTCTTCCTGTCCCACACTGGGTTCTCCAGTGTGCCTGGTTCGTAGCAGGAACTCAGTAAAAAAATACTGGGTAAATGAATAAATGTTTTGAGTCCTGTTGGAGGCTTGGAATTCAACCATCGAGGTGACAACCACACCCTCTAAACACTGGCTTGGAATGCTGGTGTTGCTTTCTTTCCAGTGGATGGACAGGGCCAAACCCAGACCTGTGAACCTAAGTTCACCTGTTTTCTACCAGCCAGGCTATTTGGAGAAGGGATTTGTGGACAATTGCTGCCCCTGAACACTGGGCCTCAGGTCCCTAAGGTCCATCTCAAGCTTCTCATCCTATAAAGGCCAGGGAGCCCGCATCTGAGACATCTCCATCCTTTGCGTTGGAGCCCCATCCCACAGTTTCTCACCAGTAAAATGATTGAACCCTTACAGTTCCTGGAGCCATCCAGCCCGTCCTATTACAGAAAGACCATAACTTGTAGAGGATTCAAAAGGAATGAGTGACGTACTAAAGACGAATAGCTTTAACCCACCCTCAAAAAGAACTGGTCTTTTTCCTTGCTGTGGTATTTATTTCCTAGGGGTTATTAGTCCTTCATTTGATACTTTTTAAATCCCTAAGTGGAGGAGGAATAACCAAATGCAGGTAGTCACTTCCATTAAAATGGACTGCACTATGTGCAGTTACTGAGCTGGTGCTCAGTACCCCATGGGAAGTGCTCTGCTCTGTGCCTCAGAAGGAAGACTTTCAGACCGTCTGTTGAGCTGGGAGACAGACATAGGCTTTTACCTCTACCTCCTTCAGAAGCCCCAATAAATTATGGGAAAAGAATAAAAAGGCAGAGAATCACATGTCTACACAGAAAAGGAGAACACAGCCCATAAAATGTTAGCCAGACTCTGGAACCTGGAAATTGGATGGACGCCATCACTGACAGCAAACTGTGGAAAACAAAGGGTTGGAGGTGAGTCTGCTCATGCCATAGGCCTCCCGAAGGCTTGGGAATTTTCCAGGTACCTCAGAAGACAGAAGAGCAGTGGGGAGGGTCTTTGCAATATTTCACAGTACTGTAAGAGTAACTGTACTCACCCCCACCAAAATCCATTCCTTTACCCTGGTAACGAACAAAAAGTTAAGCCAGGGATCTTTGAATTTAGTGACAGCCCAGGGCAAGGTTTCATGCCAAAAATATAGGTAGTAAATGAAACTCTACATATTAAATGGTGACCATGCACAGCCTCCTTCTCCACTTGGCTCCCCTAGGATATGTGGTCAAGTACGTCAGATTTTAACCCTTTAAGAATCAACATGGGGGTGTTTGTGGCACAGTGGCAGACCACATGGAGGGCCTGGGTTTGATCCTTAGCACCATAAAAAATGAAACAGCAACCAAGAAACCACACTATTTTCTATCTCCTTGCACAAAACAAGCACAAACAACTTAAAACAATAAAGTACGATGGGGCTGGGGCACAGCTGAAGTGGTAGAGCAAGTATGAAGCCTTAGTTCAATACCCAGTACTGTTAAAAAAAAAAAAAAAGAACTACACTGTCTTCAGTGGGGGGGAAAGATATACATCTAATAAGGGCAGGCTGCTATTGACAATAATAACTGGAAAAGAAAGAACTCTTAAAAATCATAAATATGCTAGCTGAAAAGTGGAAATTAAGTTGAAAATTTTTCTTAGACATATAAAAGGATCAGATTTGGATGACATCAGATTTCCTAGGAGCAACACTCGAAGGTGGAAATCAGGGTTAGAATGTTTCAAAATCCTCACGGTAATTTTCAACTGTGTCTTTTATACCCAGCACAACTAGCTAACCAAGGGTGAGGGCAGAATGGGGCACTTGCACAAACTTAAGCTCCTCAGAAAACTATGCCCCACATACTCCTTTCTTGGAAACCTGGTAAAGGATGTGCTTCCTCAAAATGAGGTAATAAGAGGAAACTACAGATCCAAAAAGAGGGGATTCAACCCAAAAGAGAGCAAAAGATACGCTGACAATAACTGTGAGTAAAGTGTGCAGAGGGCCTAGACAGCAGTCAGTCCAAAGAACAAAACAGAGGATTTCTTTGAGAAGACAAAAATTAATGATTAGTTGATGATAAAAATCATCAGTTGCCTGGTGTGTGTGATGACTGATACTGTCAGGGTTTGGTGCTGAATTTATTATACAGAGGAAACTAAGCAGACAAGACACTAAGATTTGGTAACTCCAAGAAAAACAAAGGGCTATGCATAAAAGGTAAATAAAACACTTGTTCAATGTGTAGCTGTAATATTTTAGTCTTAATTATGCAAAAGGTACAAATATAGCCAAGAATTACAACATAACTCTGAGGAGGAGGAAAAAGGAAATTTGTGGGCTGGTGCAGTGGCTCAAGTGGTTAAAGAGCGCCTGCCCAGCAAGCACAAGGTCCAGAGTTCAAATCCCAGTGCCACATACACAAAAAAAGGAAATCTGTGGCTGGGATAGGGTTTGAGAGCAAGGTTAGTAATTCCTTGTCTTTCATAGGAGGAAACAAGTAGAGAACATCTAGAAGTGAAAACCCAAGAATATAACACATTTGGAAATGTAAAGAACACTAACAACCAGAGATAAAATGCTAACATGGCTGCCTCTGGGAGGGGAGCCCAGCACAATGCAGGCTGATTGTCATTATGGGCCTATCAGAAATATTTGGCTTTTTATATTAGGTGTGAAAGATGCTTTGGTTACAGTGTATCTCACCACAAAACCTAAAACCTCCCCTTGAATGGCTTCCAATGCAGTCAGGTGCAGACTTGGGGAAAGAGGTCTCATGAGCTCAGGGAGGTGGGTCAGCTGCTGTGGTTGCACAGCAGTAGTCTGCATTTCTGAGCTAAGGGGAAGCACAGGAGCAGGACAGAGAGGGACACAGTGTCCTGGCCTTTGGCCACCAGGCCTTCCTCACTCACTGAGTGGGTGAATATTAGTGGATGTTTTATCATTACTAATGGGAAATTTTTTCAGTCATGTGGAGCCATTCTTAGGACTGTGGAGAGAGGGTTAAAACATGACAGTGGGCTGAGGCTTGGCTTTGAACAGTCTCCTGCCTTCCTACACCCTTTCTTAACATTTTTGAAGTAGCATAAAGGTACGTTTTCCAAAAAGTCTGTAACACTAATTTTGTCTCTCCAAATTTTTACTCTTTCTTTTCTTCTTTGAAGTGATTTTAGTGGTCAAACATTGCCAAGAAAACTGAAACAAAGACCTACTTGAAAACACAAAGCCTGGACTCTAAGTGCGAGTTTGGAGGGTGTTTTCAGTGTCTGATGGGGGATGTCACTCCCATTACGGGACCTGGCAGATTCTCAGGCAGCAGTCTGTTTCTTAATGCACTAACAAAAGATAATAGCAAAGTAGTGTGACTGCTTCTTCAGTCATTCCTTTTGTTGTGGTTTAGAAAGCCCTTCTACCTTGCAGTTTAGACTTTGATGCTATAAAGACCACCATTTCTCAGGCCTTCTCCCAGAAACTCCTGTGGCCTGGAATGCTGAAATTTGCCTCATCTGTAACCTTTGTGAACACCATAGTCACATAGTGTAGTCCTGAGGTTATGGGTTAGAGACCCTGAATCAGAGCACTAGCAGCTGGTCCCCAAGGGCATTTTCCCCAACCAATCCCTTTCTATACCCTTCCCTGCAACTCGCTTTCCTATGAGTACAATAATGTGGAGTCCTAACTCGGCACCTATTCTCTCTGCTGCTCTGTGACGGCCCTGTGGGCCAGGCCTTTCTCCCCTGTGACCTAATGTCACTGAAGTCTTCATGGGCTTTCAAATACCTTTACTCACATGAACAGCTGCTCAACCTTATGTAAAGAAATGCACACTAAAACCAAGACACCTGTACCCTTTCCAGATAAGCAAAGATAAAAAGTTAACTGATGCAGTGGAGCTGGCAAAGGAGCGAGGAAGTAGCTTGGAGACAAGTAATGGTGGTTCTCTGGGAGGCAGTAGGGAAGCCATCTACCAAAAATCAACACACAGCCAGCCCTTGACTCAGCTATTTCTTTTCTAGAAATTGGTCCCATGGTATTTGTACTAATTTGTAGTGGGTATCTGCTGTGCTGTTTGAGGAGCAAGACCAGAAACAACTTAAAGGCATCTAGGCTGGTTAAGTGAGTTATGGGTTCGCCCTACATATACAAACTACAGAGCCGGCAAGAAGAATGGCAGCGGTGCCACGGACGTGAAATGTATCCAAGATGTATGTCAAAGTCAGAAAGGCCACGTGTATGGGAGGTCAGACAGCACACTGCTGCTTGTGATTAGGAAAACAGGGCTGGTTACACACAGATACACATGTCAAAAAGCAACAGAAAATTCAGGCTGTCTCTGGAGAAAAGAAGTGGGTTTGGGGTTGGAAGAGAACTGATTTGATACTGGGTATGCTGTAGTCTCATATCAAGTCTTTCCACCTACCAGTGTTACTATTTCAAAGGAAGTTAAAATAGTTTTATGTTTTCACAAGGTAACATGGAGAGATGGAGACCTGTCAGCCATTAATGAAAGAAGTCAGCTCACATTTCAGAGTTGATGCCTCTCCAACAGGAAAACACTGGAATGCAGTGTTTAAGCTCTGGGCAGAAGTTTCATCAGTAAAAAGGGGACGCTTACCTAAATCATCTCTTAAATCTATTTTCTGGTGCAAAATATCTATGGTTTTGTTTAATCCGATTTCATGTTCCTAAGAAGCTGTAAGAGTGGAGCAATGGGCTCTTAGCACATTCTCCAAAGCATATCCGAATGCTCCTGAACCATCAATTCAAAATCATTTTACACTGAAGCAGCCTTTAAATATATTCAGAGCACAGAATTTATTGAATATAATACAGAGACAGCGCGTACAAAAGTTTCTGTTGTGGCCGGGCGGATTTCATCAGGCTGAGACGGAACATGTGAGAACATGCTGTGAACAGCTCATTCGATCTGGACACAGCAGAAATACATCTCCTTCCCTCAGGGAAACGTAAAGCTGGCCATAAAACCATGGATTTATTACATATCACGTAACCCAAATGCATGATGACAGTCCTTTCCTGCACCGTCTTTGTAAATGAGTTCCATGTCAAAACAGGAAATACAACTTAAATCCATAAAAGAAAAATTGTGAAAATGAAAGCATTCTAAGACATCTCTTAAAATACTCAATTCCTAAAATGTTAACACACACTGAAGTCAGAATAAATATACACATCACGAACTACAGAGGTCTCTTTTCAAGGTGAGGAGAAAGATGTGGGGCAGCATGCAATACTGACACTGTTTCTTTGTACTCAAACAAGGAAAGAGGTGGTGAAGGGAATATTTAGACAATTTTGAGTTTCTTATAGGAAGTTCCAAATGGCAGTTTATAAAATTGTCTTTAAAAAAAAAAAAAAAGGAAGAATGAAATGCTGGCAGCCGAAATGAGAACCAAGTGTATTTTGCACTTTTCTATGTATGAGCTTGAGTCCACCTACTTAGGCTGCTTCCAAATGAAAACACAAAACACAGTCACTCGCACTGAGTAACTTCTCAGCACCTCATGCAGTGTCTGCCATATAGAAGTCCTTACTAAACGTTTGCTGAAGAAGTGAATCATGAAAGGCAAAAAGCAGTTTGTACACATGGTCTCAGTATCACAGACAATAAATTCTGACCTTTGAATCCACGGAAAAGATTCAGTGGAAAAAAATTTTAACGAATGCTTCACTGGAGCTGAATTTAGTTTATTTCTAAAAAATAAAAGATGAGAATGCAGGCAGCCCGTTCGAAAAAAACAAAAAAAGAACGTGGTCTTTTTGTGTCACAACGAAAGCCAGAGTCGATGGTGTAACATGCACACTAATTTACTACCTTCCTAGGTCATAAAGGCTGTGCATTCTCATTAGCACTGAGCCTTAATGAGACTGTGTGAAGAGGTCTGATTTGTCTCCCTTAGTTGGTGTTTTCTGAAGGGAGGCAGAAAGTAATAAGCAACCTGTTTTATTTCAGCCAGATGTGGCTTTGGGTATGAGGAAAGGAGATTCTGGCTGCAGCTCTAACTGCAGAGACCCCAGCCAAGCTCGTGGGAGAGCAGGACAAGGTGAGGACATCCCGTTCTGCACCCACATCCATTAGCCGAAGGATTAAGTCCACATCAGCCTGTGGGGTAATAAAGCAACTGTAATAAGGCATTGTTACAGGATCAGTGTTTGCTGGTTTAGACACAGACCTCTGCATTTATCTGGCAGCAGCAAATGATGCTCCCATCGCACTGTTTGACTCAACTGACATCTTTTAGTCAGAGCCAGCCATATTGTGGCAACAGTCCAAGGTATCATAAGTGCAAATATTTATGACAGGTTGGACAATAGCTACATTTTTGTTGCTAGCTTTTTCTTCCTTTTCTATGGGTTGGATGCAGATATTTTTCTAATGAATTAATCCATTACATAAAAAAAAAAAGGCTTAAGTTAATTACCTTCATCTAGACAAATCTCTCATCCGCCTCCACTAGTTTTGCTTCTCACTACAATACACAGCTGTTTGCCTGTGTTTGTATCTTTTAGATTTTTCAAAATGCCTCTGTAATGGAAATAAACTAAGATAAAACTTTTATTTTTTTCAGTGCTACAGATATAGCTACAACCGCATCGGGGAAGTCTGGGTTGCTCAGTAAGGGGTGGGCGACCTCCTGGCCCCCAACTAATGTTCTTGGCAGCTGAACCGCGCTATGTGTGCCAAGCGGTGGCTAATGGGATTCAGAGGCTGGGTAGGAGGGCATGAGCCTCACTGCTATCCCCTTACCATTCCCAAACTCGCTTCTTGCCTGGTGCTTATCACTGTCTTCTATCACGTGTTCCCTTCACTGCGTTTCTTGACTTGTGTGTTTTCAAACCTCCGCAGGCCTCTTCCACAATACCAACATTAATGAACTGCTCTTACTCACATTTAATTTATGAGTCATAAATTAAACGCCTCTACAGAAAGCGTTCCCAACACCACCCTGGTGAGACCCATTGCTAATTTTCTTTCTAAAGCCCCCAAATTAATTTCCCAGATGTGTGGGGCAGAGAGATTCAGGCAGTGAGAAAATGGAGATGGCACATTTCTTTGCTGTCTGCGTCATATTCTGTTCCCAACAGAAAAAGCAAAGGTATCAGAACTGGACTCCTCCTTTAGCTTGGGGTGTGGAGGCAGACACCCAAACCTGCACCTCAGAGCAGTTGAGGTTAGCCAGTTTGTCCACTTGGTTCCCTCCAGCAATTTTCAGAGCCTGCAGACCTTCTCAGGGACCAACTCAGTCCTAGGCTTAACTTCCTGGGGCTCCATCTCTCCATGTGCAAGACAGAGCCCTTCCAGCTGTGGCGAGGACTGAGCTCCGTGAGCACATGAACTGGACACCCTCTGGCACAGGCAGGGTGGCGTTGACAAAGCAACGTTCTTTGAAAGGTTCCTATCGTGGCAGCTGTCTGTAGAAGGAAAAAGCCTTCTCTAAAATCCAATCAGGCCAGGGCACCCGGAGGGAGCTGACTGGCTGTGATCTCAGCACTGCCCTTTGTGCTCCCCAAGAGTGATGTTTGGCCTCACCGCACTGTGTGTTGGGCACTGGCCCATCCATCTATACTTTACAGGGGACACTCTAAACACAATTCTATTTCCCCTCAGCTTTGAAAACATTCATTCCCAGCAACAGCAAACAAAGCCCAAAGCGTTATCTATCTCTCCCTGGAGAGGTGCTTTTTGATCAACAGGAGGCAGGGATGCCACTACCAGTAGGGGGAGCACTGGACTCTGACAAAGTTTGGGGGATAAAATGTTCAGTTGTGCAAGGTGACTTATCACTTAATATTTTTCTTTTAAACCAAGGATTTAAAAAACTAAAAAACTGTAACTGGAAATTTGTACTTTAAGAAACTTATTTTAAGAAAGAGTTGCAAATGACAAATGGCACTATATTTTGGCATGGACTGAGTTTGCAAATACAAAGATTTGTGTGCAAAAAAAAAAAAAAATCCAGGCACCATTTGAAAACGTTCAAGCTACTTATACATGGTACATATGCTACACACATACACACCCCCCCCACACACACAGAGCTTGTTTTCAAATTCATTTGAAGGGATATTTAGGTCTGAGCTCTCATTGCATTCAGTTATATCTGACTTAACACAGCCTGCAAGCTGGGCACTGATATCTTTCGATAGCAATTCTGCTCCTAGGATTTGTTTGAAAGCATTTAGGTTTTCACGGATCACTGGAGGTTCTTCATTTTTCCCCCTTCTGTGTTATGTAGGTATAAGCCGTCTCTCTAAGCATAAACTGTCCACTGGTAAAAATCAATTTTGATTTTATCAGTATTTATTACTGCTGGTGCCAGCAGTTTAAGACTAGAGAGGGAACTCATGCAAACTAGGAGGAGAAAAAAATTAAAGACTGGTCCTCACACCTATAAATAATATTACCTGCTGTCTTTAAGAGGTATTTTGTATTTTTCCAAGCTTCAATTATCAATTCAAAATTCAATCAATAATAATTTATAGGACTCAGCTACTGCTTCCACCTCTGTGAGCACCAAGTCTGGCATTTCTAAAGCCAGGACTCCCAGCTGCAGTGATGTAGGCCAGTAATCCAGGGAGGCTGGCCTGGGCTGCCTCCTGACCAGAACTCCACTGCGCTTCGTCTTTCCCAATTATTCAACTCTTTTCGTCTCCGGGCAGAGAAGATTGTTGTGACAGGACCCCACAGTCACCTCTTGCCCTACTGTTTTTCCTTTGGCATTCAAGACACTCGAAATGTGCATGTCACCAGGTTCTCAGGGTTTGTGGCTCTTAAAACAGCCCCTGAACATGAGCAGTATTTGCTCTTCTGGCACTTTCTTTACCGACTTGGAGAAGAGCTCACCTTTCCAGCACTACCCTGTCACTTTCCCTGCAGTTCTTCTTCTTCCTTTTAATCAGCAAGTCTCAACCTCTATTCCTACAACATGTCCAAAGACTGGCTAGAAGGAAGAGACAACTTTACATCTTAATATTTGATTTTTTTTCCTTTGCATCAAAAATGACTGCATCCTCCGCTGGGTGACCACAACACACAAAATCACCCTCCAAGATTCAGACCACCACAGCCTTTCAGGTGCTCAAGCCCACCAGCTGGCTGTTATTGTGAAGTTTTCTCAGAACACCTGGCCACATCCTGAAAGAACAATGCTTGGAGATCCCCACTCTGGCATCACTGGGGTGCACTACACCCAAGTCCTATTGGAGGACCTTGGAATCACTTTCCTCTTGAGTCCACATGGAAACTGGAAGCTACAAAAGACCAGTTTGCTACAGTACCTTCAATTAGCAAATTTTTGTTCACTTACAGAAAACTAGGGGGGAGAAGGCATATGACGCCCAGGCTAGTGTCTTCACTCCCTCTCCTAAGCACCTGAGGCCACACAGAAAAGATCCTGAAGACTAAATAATAATGGGGCAGCCTTCCCCATGTGCATGCTCCCTGCAATCTGAGCAATTGGTGCTTGATGAGAACCAGGTCTGCTTGACATTTCTTGTGAGCACCTGGGGTTTACAGTAAACTTCCTTTCACAAAGACAGGAGGCTACCTACTCAGACCAACCAGACTCCCACTTCACCATCTCAAGGTGCCAGCTAACCATCGCTTGGGAGAAATGTGGCTCTAGTGTATGGCATTGAAGAACGGTCTTCTTTTCCATGAGCTGTGCACTCAAACCCAGGCATATGCTGACCCAACAGCAGTCACTAGTCTCTGTGGTGTGGCTCCCTGACTGGAGGGAGACTGCTTTTCACCAAAGACCAAGGCAGTGAAAGGGCAGGGGCAACAGGAACTGGAATTTCAACACTTTTATTTTTCATATTATCAGTTAAAGCCAACCCCCTCAATTTTGTGTGTGTGTGAGTGCGCACGTATGTGTGTATTCAAAATCATTAAACACGTATTTCTCATTGATGGAGCTCATTTTAAAATCAGCCTTCCAATGGCAAACTAATGATGATAAAATAATAACTCCACACACACAGCAAATGTGACAAAATGACAAAAGAACTCTTAATTTGGGGCTTTATTTTAATTTTTTCTTTTAAGATGCTGCTACATAGCTGAACAGAATTGGATTGGTCTTTTACGGCATAAAATTAATTCAGTCAGACTGTCCATTACCAGTAGATGGATTAGCTGAGAAGCCCTCCAATCCTGCCCTGCCCATGCCTTCACACTCTGTAACCCGACTCATTAGTCCTGACTCCAACCTAGGGCTCACAGGAGGTCAGGACAGATCTGCGCCTGTGTGCTGGAAGTATTAGTGGTGGCTGAGAGTAGTGAAAGAACAATCTAGAAAACTGGCTACTCTTCTCCATTAAAATGGGTAACCCAGAATTGACTGTTACTACTAAGAATTTCCCTCCCTACAACAGTTGTTACTGACTGATACAGAAAGGCAGCTGTTCTCTGACATTCAGGTAAATTCTCCCCACACCCAGAACCTCAGGACACGGGGGGAGCCGCAGTGCCCAGCAGCAGTGCCAGTCCTGCTCACTGGTATTCTGTAACACAGGTGACTTTTAGGCTGCATTAACTGTACTCTTGTGACAATAAGAACACATGAGATGAAACACATTAAATAAGTTAAATATGCATTACACATCTCTGATAACAGTTTGGCTTCACTACATGAACCAACAGTACTTTAGCTTGGTCCCTTTAAGAGAACAAAGCACTGACTTGTATTCCAAGTGGTTGGGTCAGATGACATGTGCCTCTTTCTCACAACCGCTGAGCACACCAATGCTGCCACAGTGCAAGGCTTTGCGGCTTCAGCCACTCAGCATCAGTCCCAAAGAATCGAAGGCTTGGACAGAACTGCAGATATGGGAAGGCCACCTGAGCAGAGTGGGCATGGGGTTACCATGGAGGCAGCTGCCTGCCCCAGCATGCTGGGCTCACGTTCCCACGGGCCAGCACCTATAGGCGAGGAAGAGTGTCTTGCTTTGAGAAGTAATGCAGCGACATGTACCAAAGCCTATCAAGTTACAACGAGTTACATATGCCGCTGTGGCACCAATCATGGATTCCCTCATTCTTAGCAGAGCTCAGTCTTTTCCCCGATCACTCACTATACATTTTTAACTCTCTAAAAGATTGTTTATTTGTGTGTGCATTTGTGTGTGTGTGCGTGGGGAGGGGTAATTTAAAGGCAAGACCTGTGAGATGTCATCATACATTAATTTCTTTTTACACATGGTTATGATAAATTTAAATCCCATGATATGTGGATTCATCAATCCGATTTGCCATCCTTTGCATGCTGCCTCTACAAGGCAATCTTCCCTATAATAACACCAACGATAAAGAATAAAACCACCAGAGCCAATAACCGGGTGCTGAGGCCTTCCTCCTTCCCGGTCGCAGCCAGTGCTGCAATGGGGCTGTTGCTCTGCAAGGTCTTCCTCATCCGCAGCCCATCTTCTTCCTGTGGAGCAAATGCACATTTCAAAAACAACCCAAGGTACAGCCAGCATGCTCCCATGCACTCTCTAAATGGAGTCACTGTAAATGTAGCACTAACACCTACAGAGAGGAAGAGGCTGCTGAAGGCCAATGGGAAGTGCTGCGGGGGGGGGGGGGGGGGCCACCCTTCCTCCCATCTGTCCTACCCAGTGTGGCTAGCTACCTCTCTACAACACACATCTGAGCAGAGCACTTCTTGATTCCTGTGATTTACAAAGAAAGGGTCTTCAGAAGGTTGACCAGCCCTTCACATCCCTGGCCCCATCCACCTTTCTGATTATGTCCTCAGCTGCTTCTCTCCTGCTGCCTCCTAAGTCAAGTCATTACTGATTTCTGAAGGGCCTTCCCAAGGCACATATGTGTAAAACACAAGAAACTACAGAGAGGGGACCTATAAGCTTTCACATGCAGAGTTCTATCCATAGCTGGTGCTTGATGACTCACATGTAGTCTGCTGGATCAAATGGTATTTGAAATATGAAATGTGACAGACCTGTACATACCCATCACAAATATTTTCTACTTAATGCATGGCTTTCTCCCTAAAGCAGCAACATTCTCTTTGATATACATGGAGATACTTGAGCAGCACTGCTCAACCACATAGATGAGCAAGAAATAAAACTTCTTTCTTCCTTCACTTCTCCTGCCACTGCCACTACTGCCTTATGCTGCCTGGAGGACCTGCAGGGTATTTTGCAAATCCACAATGCCACTTACTCTGTCCTCTAGGCCACACCTACTTTCCTGCACAGGGGCAGTAGGAAAGCCTTTTGGTTCCACCCCAACTCTTCTCTGCATCCAGACCCCTTGCTAATTACTCCATCTGCTCATCCCCACTCTCAACACCAGCAGCATTTTCTGTTCTTTTCCCTCATTTCTCTCCTATCTAGTGGATGCCTAGGCACTCCTGCAGGCAGGAACCACGAGTCCATGGAGGGGACTCTGCAAGAGATCTGCTGATGACACCAGTTGCAATCCTTTGTGTCCCTGTCTCTCCCTATGACTCATCAACAGGGAGTTCCTCAGGGGCCGGGGCTGCTCACGCCTGAGCCCACAGTGCTGAGCCCACAGCATACTGTCACTAAATTTGTGGGCCAAATGAAGGAATGAACCAACACAAAACAAAAAATCAGTCTTTTTCAGAAGAAAGTGTCTTCTAATGTCAAGATGGGTCTGGTAATATTTTAAAGATATTTTATTCATGGAGTATGCCAGTATCACAGCTCAGTGATGAATGACTGGCATTGTTTGATTAACTTCAAAAAAACATGGGCACAGCAAAATATAGCATGTACTTTACTGGGTTTATATAGAACTACTCTTACCTATTTATCATTTTAAAAAGGCACAAAACTCTATTTCTGACAAGAAACAGACTCAAAGACAAGCTTTTGGCAAATCTTAGACTTTCAGCCAAAAAAAAATCTAAGCGTCAGTTTTATAATTCAGTCCATACTAAAAGAAGATACCAGAGGAGGCAAATCAAGATCATTGCAAAGGAAGATGACAAGGCCACTTCCAAACCCTGTCATTGTTGGAATGGAAGAGAAGGAAAAGTCAATTTAAATGAATGTATTGTGTGGACATGGTGCTATGACAGGTAAAGAGCAGAAATCTATCACATGTTTGGGTGGCATGGTCAAGACTAACAACAAATAAGCCACAAAATGTAAGCTGCACCAAAAGTTCTCATGATCAGATTCTCAGAAATGATCTCTTTAAGAGAAAATACTTTGAAAGCCAGAAGGGGCCATAAAGGCGTTCAGCAAACACAGGCCTGAGAAATGCTGTAACTAGAAGGCTGAGAGCCAGTTCCAACTGTGAGAACTAGAGTCCTTTCCACACCACAGGCCTCCAAGCCAAAGAGGTGTCTGCCTCCTTCCTCTCCCAGCACAGCCTGCCCCATGCACCCAGGACAGCTGCTCTGTCCTGAGCCAAAGACTCAGTCTCTCTTCTGTGCCTCACCCCTGCTACTGGGACAGCCTCACATTTCCGATCTCACCATTACATAAGCAGCTTTATAAGTCACTACTGCCCAAAAGTCAGAATTCTGAGCACAAGTCAGTCTATAGTGTCTTAAAGAGATTTCTACCCTAGGGAATGGACTTACTGGGGTATTAAAATGCATGAATGGTTCCACTCTTTACTAAAATAACCACTGCTGCTTTTCAACTTACATGAATAGTGATGGGAATTTTTTGTCTTTGAGCAGACAAGACTTCAAATAGTTGAGAAATTTTAACCCAAGGAATGGCAGTTGTTAATTTGGGAGCATAAGGGCCTTTTGAGAGCCAGTGAAAGCTACTAAAACTTTTCCCTGGATGTGTGTACGTAAATAATCAAATACTAAACAAAAACAAAAAACCCCTACAAATTCAGGAGTTCACTAACTTTTCCACCCAAGATCCTCACAAAGACAGTCCTATTGTTTGTAGATGGGAGATAAAGTCACAGTACCTTGAACTGTTTGTTCTCTTCCCGCAGCCTCTGGACTTCACCTTGCAGCCTCTTACATTCTTCCATCACTTTCTTGACTTCAGTGTCATCCAAAGACGAAGTCAGAGATTTAGACACCGATGGTGTTTCTGTCTTTGATGCACTTGTGGATATAATTTTATTTATTTCTACATCATGCTGTTCAGAAATAAATGGAAATCCAAGTGTCACCAACTATGTAAGAAAGGATTTTTTTCTGCAAAATAAAGTAGCTCTCAGCACACACCACATGTGGTAGCATCTCTTCCACACTGTAAAATGTCACATTTATTTTAAAAATGGATCACTCTATCTAGTACCTTGATAATCTAAAGCAACTAGGCCCTAGAAATTATGAATAAGGGCAAATAATGAAGTTGGGCTGAGGCTAATACTTCAAAGAAAGAGAAAAACGGCTGTACATATAGTAGTATCAAATTCCTGCCATGCAAAAATTAGCACACCATAATTGTGCAAGCTCAGGAATTATCAGCCACAAGCTACTGTCACCATGAAGATCTGAGCATACCATGACGGTCTGGGTTGGAGTGGGAGGCCAGGGAAAGCACTACATGGGGTGCTCTATTTCACCAACTCATAACTGGGAAGCTAAGATGAGGGAGGAAGAAGTTCAGAGCCTGCAATGCTTCAGTTGTGGGGAGGTCACACACTCCCCATTTCCCTGTCAGGACTATGCCATGGCAGAGAAGTGCTCAGGTGCTGGGGAGAAGTAACTAGGGATGGCTGCCTGGGGGTTCGGGGCAGCATTGTGAAAACCAGGCATCTAGCTCTGGCCTTCACTTCCCATGGAAGGGGGATCACTGGGAGGGTAGGCCCAGGCTACCCAGTCAACCTATCACAGGAAGTAAGATAGGAATTCAGGTCTCCCAGTTTCCAAACTGATTTTCCCATGACAGAATGTAGTCTTTTTCATTCAAAAAATTAGGGTAATAGTGGTCAATTATAGAGCACACAAAACTACTACAAATCATAATGACCATAGGTCATTATGGGTCACGGGAACAAATGCTTCAGGGCATTTATACTGCCAACTCCAGCTACTAATGGCAGAGTAGATTCAAATTCTGCATGGCTTTTCAATTTGTTGTGCTTTTAAAAGAATCTAAAATTTTTTTGACTAGGTTGAAGGGAGGTCGAAATTAGCATTTTAAACACTTTACTGGTCACAGCAAGGGCCAGGACAAGCCCATCCTCCGGCTTCACACAGAGAAAATGAGATAGTGGGAGGACAGTGCTCTCTCACCCAAGGAGCACAAGGCAATGTCATTTGGTTATCACAACTGGTGTGTGTGGGGGGAGGTGCTACTGGTGTCTAGTGGGGAGAGGCCAGAGAGGCTGCTCCGCCTTACAGTGCCCACCAGAAAGAATGATCCAGCCTCAAATGCTGACAGTGCTGAGGTTAAGCAGCTCTCACCTAAAGGCAGCCTTGGACTGAAGAGGCTGGTGGGGACAAGGAAGCAGTGAGAGGCGGTGCTGAGGGAAAGGCACAGGGGCACTTTGTGAGTAGGAGAACTTAAGCGCTTGCCCAAGCACCATGATGAAGGGTAAATCACTCCCCATGTGGCCTCACCCACTGCTTAACAGCAACCAATGACATTTTCAAGCACGAACAGGTTGCATTTTTCAAGGAGAAAAGTTGTTTCTAGCTGTCTTCCTGCAAGACTTTCAAAGGCTGATTTCATAAAAGCCTGTTTATTTGTTGACTTCAGCTTTTTTTCCCTCATACATTAGAAAAAGGAAAACAATTTGCCATCTTAAATCTTGGTTTTGCAGAAGATGGTATGCAAATAAGTATCAGCTTGCAACATTCAATTATTGTTAACTGTAAACATACTTACTGGTTTATCATTTTCTGCTGGCAATTCAAACACACATCTAAGTTTTGAATCCATAAGGTCTCTGGTTTTGCCTCCTTCCACTAAAACAATTTAAATTTAATAATCAGGATATTATAAAGCTGCTGGAAGAATAATTTTCCTCCTATAACTGACAATTTCAGAAAAATACTCTTAATGAGAAAGCCTTGATGTATATCAAATAAAGAACTTCAGTCTGCTGGGATTTCAATATTTTTAACAGGACAAGATTAAATACAATAGCTCTCCTGAATATTTATTACCTTCGCAAACCTTGATGCTTTACTGCCTGGCTCCCAAAGCCTACACGGCCTCCTCCCATTGCTAGTCTATGGGCAGCCCAGGTCCACGGAGGCCCCTGGTCAGGAGGGATCTTCCACATCATGCCTGGGTGAGCAGAGGTGACTGGCTCTCCTTAAGAAAATGGACTTTACATTACAGGGCACATGCTCACTGGGGAACCTAAGCACTAAGTACCATTGAGAGTGGTTTCAATATCACACTGCCTGCCAGCTACCAATGGAGCACATGACTGGCAAGCCATTCTCCACCACTGTGGCTGTGTCAGGGCTGACCCTGCCCTAATCCCCCAGCCCCCAGCCTGCTGGTGAGAGCAGCTTCCTGGGTAGACCTGTGTTCTGAGATAGTGTGCTCTCCACTTCCTCCTTTTCAGCAGTGGAGGGTGGGAGTCCAGAGTGCTCTGAGAATGACAGACCAGCAGAAAAGCAAGGTTACAATACGGAAGAGAGGCGCCCCTCCTCACCTTCCCCAAGCCATGCAGGAGGCAGCTGGAGCAACAAGGTAATAAAAACAGGAAACAATCTGTGTATCTGACACCAGGGGACTGCCACACAAATTACAGCAGATCCAAGCAATGGAATTGCAAACCGCCACTCAAATGATACTTGAGAGCATGCAATTATGTGGGGGGAAGTTGCAGAATATTAAGTGAAGAAAATGTAAGCCGTATTGAAGTCTTTTCCTCTGTGCACATGTCTCACGATGTGTGCCGTGTGTGCCAAAAGAGGATGAGGTGAGGGTCACCACTGAGTGCTAAAGACACCTAATGGTGGGCTGCTGGTGGACAGGATAGGCAGGATGAGTTGGAGTATCATATGCTTTGGCACTCAGAGTTGGCGGTCATCATCTGAACCAAGCGCCGAGGCAGCATCACAAGAGGGGCAATCTAGTGTGGGACGCCTCCTGACGTGATGCACACATGGTACCACCACGGAGCTGCTCCCAGTGTGATGCACATGCGGCATCACTAGAGCATTCTGGCCAAAAGAGAAAACGTAACCTGGGCTTAACCATGAGGAAATAATCAGATGAGTCCAGAATATGAGACTTTGGACAAGGATGTGGCCTGGACTCTCAAAAATTCAAAGTCATGAGAAATGAGAGGGATGTGGGGGTCCTCAAGCAGAGCAAGGACAGCTAAAGGCCATTCCTGAGCAATCAAAAGACGCTGAACACTGGCTGGTGGAGTGGCTCAAGTAGTAGAGCGCCTGCCTTAGCAAGTGTGAGGCCCTGGATTCAAACCCCAGTGCTGGAAAAATAAAGAAAACGTTGAACATGGATTTACCTTAATACTGACTTATGGTTCGTTTTCTTGGTTGGGCCAACAATATTGTGACTATCCTTGCTCTGAAGTGCTCAGGGGCAAAGTGTCACCCAGCCTGATGCAGGCTGCTGGTTCAGCAAGGAGAGAAAGTTTGTAATACGTAGGAAGCAAATGTGGCAAAGTGTTCACAAATAGCAAAGCCAGAAAGAGGTGAGTGGTCACGGCTCACTATGCTTTCTACTTTGTTTTCAACACAAGAAGAATATCTCAAAATGAAGGCAAGCACAAGGCTTCCTTGGTGGTCAGGTCTAACATGAAAGAATCACAAGTCACTTCTAGCTTAGCTTTGGCTCACTTGTGCACTTCCACAATTTCTTACAAGGGATATTTATACAGAACTTTTTATATTGCTATACACTGGGCCAGGCATTTAAACACAGCACACTTATCCCCAAGGTGACCACAACCTTGGGAAAGTGACTGAGACTTGCTGGAGGCCACAACATTAACAGAAGACAGAGCTCAGCCTCAAAACCAAGATGGCCACACCCGTGCCCAGTCACAATGCTGAGCAGTAAGAGCCATATGGAACACACTCCTGGACATTTCACATTCTCTATCTGTCCTAAGTTTTCTTGATCACACAAATTAACATAAGATGATAAAACATACTCCAGGAATAAGAGTAAATGCCTCAATGATCATTCTTACAAAAAGAGGACAATTTATTAGTACTGGTCTCTCTCAGACTCAAAAATACCTGACTTATCCTTCATTTTCTGCCTCCAAGTTAAGCATCAATGAAGAGAGTCAGTTATGCTTTTCTAATGCTAAAAGAACAGGCTGAGTGGTGACAGTGCATAAAATGGCCCTTAGGGTAAAACTCAGAAAAAGGAAAACAACAACACAAAGCCAGCTACTCAGATGCAAACAGGACACCCTTCAAGAGACCTCACTCTCTCTAGGCTGGTGCTGGAGTATGAGTGTAATGGAGATGGTCAGAGGCAATCCTACCTCTTCCTTCAAACTGGAGGACCAGTGTCCATCCCTGCTGCTGTCCCTATATGGTTTTTCTGCAGACTTCAACTAATGCAGCACCAGAATGCTCATGCATTCATTCAGATGTGTGAAAAGCCTACTTTGGGGAGAATTTCCATTATAATCTTTTCCCAAAACATTAATAATACTGCTTATTTAGAAAATAAGTCATCTTAATTTTACCAAAACTAGAGACAGCTAAACATGTATTTATGTAGGAGGATAAAAATGAAGGAATTTAGGATTAAAAAACAAGAAATCAGGTTGAGAGTGTAACTCAGAAGTGGAACACCTGCCTAGCATGAACCAGGCCCTAAGCTGTATCCCCGGCAAAACACACACACACACACACACACACACACACACACACACACTCACACACTCACACTCACATACACACGCAAACACCCAAACACCCAACAAAGAATCATGCTTACTAGAAGCAAACCCCCCACCCTCAAAGGAAAGAAAGCATAAGTGGGAAAGCACATTTAGTTTTCAACACTTTTGCATCTTCTGGGTTTGAGGGGATGGAAGACAGGACAAGAAGCATCGCCTTCAAGGAGAGGCATTCTTTCTGTGGGAGTGGAAAAGGAGAGAGGGAGGAAGGGGAGGAGGGCGCAGTCCCCCACCACTCAAGATACAACCCAACAAAGCACAGCACTGCTGAAGAAAACTGAGTTTTATAAAAGCCAGAAAAGAATGGCATTCTAGAAAGCCATATAAAATGCTATAATTATTTTTGGGAAAACCAGAAAGGTAGTCAAACTATAAACCTCCTTGAAACCAACAGTTCCCTATAAATAGCTTTGCCACATTTTGAAAGGCATGCACCCACAATTCCATACTTAATTGGTCTACTATTAATACTGGAAAAAAGAAGAAGAAGAAGTGTTCAGTACTTACTACTGCTTCCATATCAGAAGTGTCAGCTGGAGCGAACATAGACTGAACCATAAACTTGTGTTTACTTTTCTCATTGGGATCATAATCGAAAGGCTGTAACATCACTGAGAAAGAAAATATTTCATTAGCAGGGTCAGAACTTGGTTATCAGTGTCATTTGTCATGCTAATACTTGTGCTGCGATGTAAAGCAGCTCCCCACATTCTCTCATCTGAGCCTTAGGACACCCCTGGAGAAGGAAGGGACAAGAGATGACCAACATCTCCATTTTGCAGGCTACCAACCTAAGGGCAGAAAAGTTAGGACACTCAACCCAAGGTCTGACAGCAGCGGGTACTGGCAGAGCTGGGAGCAGAGCTTAGGATTCAGAGCTCATGATTCCTAGTCCCCTGCTCATGCACTCCAGTAAACCTACCAAAAACACCTGTTACTGGCCTTGGAGGTCCAGTAGGATGGGGAGATGCACCATATGCCTGTTGTGCTCAAGAAAACACATCCAAATGATCTTTTCAGGAACTAAAATGGAATAATCCAAGACATTTAGGACATTTAAAGAATGGTTTTAGCTTCTCTCTACCCCATTATCCACACAGCTCCTCAAGGTAATGTCTGAAACAGAATTTTATCAACAGAATGCTAGAGATGTCTCACATTCATACACTGGGAACAAACAATCCCAGCTTATCCCTCCTTCCCAAGAACCTAGAGGAATCTCACTCAGGGCCCTGCTACATAGAGGGAGGCGTCTTCACTTAATAAGAGTCTACCCTGTTAAAGGACAGCTGCTTTAACATATGTTGTTGCTGCAAGGCTTTGGCTAACTTGCACATGTAGCTCAGTTTCCTGGAAGCAGAACTTCACAGCAGTGAAAGCTAACTGTGGTCCTGATGACAGAGCTTGTGGGGGCTGAATGTCTCCATATCAGAAAGTGGGCTCTGTAGTCCTCAAGGTGGGGACTATGGTGTGTGAGGCTATCATTTGGATGCCTATATTTAAGATGAGAAAAATGAAGTGCAGAAAGGCTAACTTGTCTCACCGGCTGGAGGAGCACATACACAGACCCACAAAGCTCCTGGGGTAGCTCACATTCCTGACCACCACAAAGGCCCTGCTCCTTGCCCTCTGACAACATCCTGTCCTTCTGCCAGCAGGGCTTTCTGCTGGGCACTCATCAATGTTCTTCCACCTTGCAGTTCCATCTTTGTGTTTCCTGTGTCTTCTCTAAATTCCCCTACCAACCCCCCTAGTCCACCCAGGAAAAGTCTGTTCTCCATAGAGTAAGTGGTTTGCTCAAGGTTACGATGTCAGGAAGCAGTAAAGCTGGGGAAAAGAGCCAACACTTATGACTCCAAAGTGTAGCCCAGCATGTTCCCACATCCCACCACTCACTCCAACCTGAGATGGACACCATACATCCAGGCCCCAAGGCAGAGTTTGTGGAATCCTGTGTGGTAAGGAAATGAGAGACCAGTCTCCTTAACCCTCTTGGGGAGGCAGGGGCCCTTTCTACCTTGGGGTCAGAGAATATCTAAGAATACCCAGCCATGAATCAACCTGAAACTCATGGTTGTATTGTAACACCAGGCAGCTCTGTAGCCACCACACCTGTCTCAGGGCTCCTAGGTGTAGGGGCCTTGCTAGGGGATGTCTTCAGAGTTAAACTCAGCAACTGTTAGAGAACAAACCTTTTATCAACTAAGGTCTTATACACACTCAGCATCAAGACTAGCTACCAATAAAGAATGTTCCCTTCTGGGTACTCAAAATCTGAATAGTGTGACAAAAGGTCACTTAAAAACTCCAGGCCACTCTCCTTGAAATCTTATTCTTATAAAGCTAAGGTCCACTCCTAGGGAAGAACTTTGCTAGCCTTGGACCCAGAATGCACAAACCCTTCATCAAGCATCACTGAGCTGGCTGGACTTGCACACCTGGACTTAACTCTTAATTTCAGGGACAAGTGGCCAGACTGACAGGTCAAAACTCTTCTACTGAAAGCTTCCCCAAAGTGTTTTTTTTTTCTACCCCAAGATAGCAGTAAGGAATATACATGTTGGAAACTAATGAATCTTCATAGGTAATATAGTTTTCTTGAGATAGCAAATGCTAACCTTTTTTAGAGTGGGAACAGAGTCTTCAAACTACTGTTAGAATAAGGCTCATTTTAAAGTACAATCAATTAAGTATTGGGAACTTCAGGTCTCACGCAGCTGTGACAGAATCATATCCTCCTTTATCACAGTCTGGGAGAGAAGAGAACTTTGACACTCGGGTTTCTGGCAAATACAGGAAGCTGTGCCACCCTTTCCATTCTTCTCCTGTCCTTGAGCCAGTGCACCTGAGAAGAGCAGCCAACAGCATTCAGCCCAAAAATTCTGGGTTCACCCTACTCTGAAGGGCCCTTCCTTTTTCTCTTTCCACCATCCCTCCATACCCAAAACCTTCCCAATGTCCCAAGATAGAAAGAATGAAAGTCACCTTTACTAGCACCTGCTGTATACGAGCTACCAAAGGCACACTCTCCTTAGTGCTCCTGTTCATACCTCCCAAGACTCCACCAAAGAAACCTAGGTTTCCATTTTGTAGATGAAAAGACAGTCTTGGAAAGGCAATATACAGCCTCACTTGGATCCCATGTCTAGCCTACTTAACAATGGAGCTAGGGCTTCAGCCTGGTGACTCTGACTCCAGGATCAATCCCATACCACAGGTTTTCAAAGGTGATCCACAGACCCCAGGGCTCCACCCTTCCCCAATCAGGTGACCATGAAATCAGCACTATGATCATAACAATATTAAGATGTTAGATGTTCTTCCACCATGTTGACACTGCAGCAATGACCCCAGCTGAGCACAGAGCAAGGCTACGTACACCCAGAAGCCAATGGCACACATGCCCAGCCTCTTGTGGTGGAGAGCAGCGGGCATAGGGTGCTGCCTGCACTCGGAGTCACAGGTCTTGGCTCTTTACCCTAGTTTTACTGCTTATTCTTCACCATAGACTCTCAGTTTAGAAAACAGCCAATTTCACTTTAATATCTTTGATGAAACAATGAAAAGTATTAATTTCACTAAGCTTAAACCCTATAAGCTTCATGATGAAATGGCACTCCTGCTACTTCTCAAAGTCCAAAGGCTGTGGAGAGGAGAGCCTTAAGCAACTGGGCTGGGAGCTGGGCTCTGTGCTGCCCACAGAACACCCTTACTTGAAGGCATACTTGATGAACACTGGTTATTCGGACTCTCTATCTCTCTATGTGGCAAACATTCTCTCAAAAATAAATAAAGTGAGCCTGACACTTCAAGGAAAATAACTTATGGTAGCTGTTGCCCATGATAAAACCCAGGCTTTCAAGCAAAAATTATGAGAAATATATCTGCAACCAAGAGCTTCATAGTTTCTTAAATACTTAAAGACTTAGACAAGATGGGAGGGGACAGTAATGAGTGTGATTCTTTTTGATATTTTACAATGAGACTATATCAAGATTTTATAATCCAGTTAATGAATATTTTATGAATGATCCATGTGTGATGTTATAAAATCCACTCAAATGGCAAGAGAAATTGACACATTTTAGTGAAAGGAAATTCAACAAGTTCATAGACATGGTTTTGGTTTCCACATCATTCCAAAAGTCTTTAAGAAAGTGCAACTTGTCTCTCCAGAGTACTTTCTTCCAAGATGACAAAAACAAACAAAAATAGTCACGGCAAAACGGGCTTCGGCCCCATGCAGCCTGTTGCTACTATGCAAGCTGCAAACTGCATCCAAATATGGGCCAAGGGCAAGACCATTAAGAAGCTCACCCTTCCAAACACAATTGAGACTGAAGGCAGAGGAACACTTCTGTAGCAAGTGTCTTTGGCTTTCTGTGCTTCCCAAGCTATGTGAAGCTGTCTGTTCACCCAAGGTGGTCAGGAATTGATCTTAGGAAACCTAAAGGATTTAACACCCCACCCCCAATGTAGACCCTCCACCAAAGCCCACTAAGGAGCTGAGTCCTTACGGGCTGAAGAGAAACTACCCTCTGAGAAAAGAAAAATAAAATGGAACTATACTTTAAAGAGGTGGGAGGGGGCATAGTTCAGTAGCAGAGCACTTGCATAGCACGTATAAGACCATGGGTTTAAATTCCAGCACTGAAAAAAAAAATAATAAAACAAAGTCAAATAAATAAGAAGGTACCACTTGTCAAGTTTTGCTATAATATCGAAGAAGAGTATTCAGAATTATCTGAAAAGGCTATTAAACTTACTCTTCCCTTTTCCAATTTCGTTTCTGTGATGATACATTCACCAAATCAACACACAACCTACTGAATGCAAAAGCAGATGAGAAGCCAGTCTTCTATTAAGACATCAAAGAAATCTGAAAAATGTGCCAGCAATGCCAGTCTTCTAATTTTTCAGTTATTTTTCATTAAAAATGTTACTGTTAACATATAATTGATTCATTATTTTTATAGAAATTAGTTATTTTTTCCCAGTTAAGCTTGTCAGGTCTTCAATTTTAACAATGTAAGGGGGTCCTGAGACCAAAGAGGTTGAGCACTGCAATCCTACGCAAGCTGCTTCACAGGTCCCTTCAGGAGGAAAGCCATCTGGTTGAATAATTCAAACAGACATCCTAGTGACTCTGTGTGGTCCCCTCTGGGGAGAATCTAGTCTACAAGAAAGGAGCCCCACACAGGGCACACTGGAGCCTCCAGGATGTACTGACCTCAGGACCTCTAGTCAGGTACAGGTTCTAAAGCCAATGGTCACCTGGCCTGCATACACCACCAAGCACAACTCCAGGCATTTCTCCTGCCCAGTCACCACAGCGTGGCTCTGGGAGAGCACTTGACGGGGCAGACAGGAATACACAAGTGCCAGCGTACAAAGCAGGGGTCTCAGAGGTGGTCAGTCACCCTACAGACTGCTGCAGAGGGCAGGAGGCAGTCACTGTGAGATATAAACACAATGCCCAAAGGCCTCAGTGGGGCTGGCAGAAACCTTTCAACTGGGAATGAGAGCCATGGCCTGCTGGAATGCCAAAGTGTAAATAAAGTATAAACTCCAGGTGTAAGGTGGGCATGGAGCCCCTCCCCCACAACAACAA